ACTGGTTTTGGGGGCGGGGTTACAGCTGGGGCAGGAGTCAGGAGAGCAGGGGGCGGGGTCTGGGGTGAGGGGCTGCTGGGATGGGCCAAGGTGGGCGGGGCAGGGTCACGGGGGTGGGGTCGCGGGGTCAGGAGAGCAGGGGGTGGGGCTCAGGAGAGGGGCGGGGCCGGGAAGAGAGTGGAAACAGGGCGTGGCCTGGTGTGAGAGGGCGTGGCACCGGGAAAAAGGGCGGTGACTGGGGTGGGGGCGGAGTCAGGGGCTGGGGGCGGGTCCTGGGTGAGATGGATGGGGTCTGGGGTAAGGGGCGGGGTCAGGGCGGGGCTGGGGAGAGAGGCGGGGCCGGGAGCGGAGCAGGGAACTGGGCGTGGCACGGGGAAAAATGGCGGTGACTGGCAATGGGGGCGGAGTCAGGGCTGGGGGCGGGGTCAGGGGGTGGGTGGAGTCAGGTGGAGAGGGGGCGGGGCTGGGGCGAGGGGCGGGGCCAGGGGCTGTGGGCGGGGCCTGGGGACTACAGGGCAGGGCTCTGTGATGTGATGTCACCTGTGGTGCTGTGGGCGGGGTCAGGGGCGGGGCCACGGCTGTGGGCGGGGCTCACCTTGACCCCTTGACATCCTATTGACCCCGTCACCCCGGGTTGGCCCTTGTGACCCCGGGCTGACCCCGTGACCTCCCCAAGGCCCCATCACGCGCTGACCCCACGCTGACTGCGACCCTGACGCTGACCCCGCGACCTCAGGTCGACCTTAGCGACCCCACATTGACCATCCTGACCCCAACGTGACACCGTGACCTCCCCAAGACCCCACCTGACAGTCTGACCCCTCATGGCCGACCCCGAGACCCCAGAGCGACCCCACGACCCTGACTTGACCCCATGCCCCCACCTCAACCCCTTTGCACCGATACCGACCTTCATGACCCCAACCCAACCCCGTGACCCCAAACCCGACCCTGTGGCCTTGTCACGACCCTGGCCGACCCTGTGACCCCTAAGCAACCATGTGACCCCGACTTGACCCCACAACCCCACCTCGACCCTTTGCACCCATGTTGACGATTCCACCCCAACCTTGACGCCACGGCCCGACCACGACCCCAGGCGACCTTTTGACCCCCAAGCAACCACGTCACCCTGACGTGACCCCACGACCCCACCTCCACCCATTGCACCAATACCGACCTTTGCGACCCCAAACCCGACCCCGTGAACCCAAACCTGACCCCATGACCCCGCCACCACCCCGCCAGACCCTGTGACCCCCAAGCAACCATGTCACCCCGAATTGACTCCACGACCCCACCTCGACCATTGGACCAATATTGACCTTTGCGACCCCAAACTTGACCCTGTGACCCCCATGACCTTTCTGTGACCTCTTGCCGACCTCCCACCCCCCCCAGGCGGCCCGGCTGCGGCAGCGGCAGGAGGAGCGGCGGCGCCTGCAGGAGGCCGAGCTGCGCCGCGTGGAGCGGGAGAAGGCGCGG